GGGCGCAGCAAGCACACGGTGGTGGCCTACCGCGACGCCATCTACGTCTTCGGCGGCGACAACGGGTGAGCACGGGGTTTAAACTCAGGCGACTGTCATCTGCCCGCGGCCTCGTGTCGCGGGGCAGGGAGCTGACAGCCACAGCCCCCAGCTGCCCGCGGGGCAGGAATGGGGCATGCTCTGATCGCCCTCGCCAGCGGTCGGTCGGCTGGCTGTGCTTGACGCGGTCGGGGCGGGAGCCCCAAGGCTGCTCGACCCCCTGAGAGTGGGCAGCGGGGGTGGGTGCAAGCATAGCCACTGCCCAGTCGCAGCTGACCCAGTTGTTGCCGCCTGCGCTGCTGTAACCAGCAGTCCCTGCCCCCCGAGAAGAGGAATAGCATTGTCGTTGATGCCCTTTGCTACGGCAGTTATGGAGTCTGCACCCACTTGCTTGAGGCTGAAAAGAAATGCATCCGTTACAGCTTAGTTGTATGCACAGCATGGCAGCGCGCCCTCGGAGCCACCACCCAGCTTTATACACAGTGGGCGCGTCTACGTGTGCGTGAATGTGCTTTAGTTACTGCGCGTTAAATCTGCGACCTCCACTGTGAGGTACTAGGAAAATGCATGTTAGCTAGTCTTAATGAGCAGTAACTAAATAGCATAGTTTTTCCAGTGATGCTTTAATGAACATTAAAATAGGTTAATGCGCATTTAAGTGCACATGTGGATGCACCCAGACTCATCTTAAAAGGATTTGAAAGGCCACATCTTGCAAGCTGTTGCTTCCTCTGAAGAAGCAAGGCAACGTGTAGCTTCATTCCCTCCCCTTTGTACATACCGTCACGCCAAACGGTAGCAACTTCAGGTATCTAACAGCTCAAGCTGTTTATGGAAGATGTGGAACAAGATTCCCTGCTGCTGTTCTTCTGTAGGGCTCATTAGAGTAATTATTTTCAGATTTTAAACTGCAGAGGCTTAAGATATTTGGTCCTTTGTAAGAAATGCATTGATTTGTGTTTTCAAGATGCATTGTTCTTCACTGTAAGCTCCAAGACTCTCTTGAACAGAGCGTATGTCCTCACAGGCCTTGAAGTTTCCAGAGACCTCCTGCTGTTGATGCTTGTACTCTGTTTGCTATGCCTCTGCCTGCCCATGGTAGGGGGCTGTGCTTGACAGCTGTGACTGCCCTGCTCTGCCAAACAGCTGGTCAGGGATTGTTCAGGGGCAGCTACAATGGTGAGCAGAGCTGTACCTGTGCTCCTGACAGCTGTGACAGACTTACTGAAGACATGATCAGCTGCCAATCATCTGTTTGACAGAGCAGGACATCTGTGACTGTAATAGCCATCAGAGGGAACAGAGATGCAGTTCTGCTTGTGATGCCCTGTCAGGCAGTCAGTTACTCTCTTCCCTTGCCCTGAGACAGGGGGAGGGAGAGCAGAGCTTTCAGGGATGCTGGGAGACTTGGGAGCATCTCTGTTGTGCTACATGTGACTGCCCATGTTTTATGGAGCACCACAAAGAAGTTTTGGTTTGAAACAGTAGCTTTGTTGTGAAGGATCTGCCATTTTTGTAGTGCTATAAACAGCCTGGATCTCTGCACACTCACTATTTGTAGTGCTATAATATCACACAAAGCACTGCAAAATAATGTGTCTGAGGCCTAACATGGGACTTGTAAATCACTACAAAAATAATGCGTCAAATCCTTGGAGCTAGAGTATGCAGGTGGCAAGCTGGAACATAGAGTCTTGAGTGTGTCTCCTTGCACAAATGCTTTACAATTCAGTTCTTGATTATGTAGTGAACACGTACTACATTTCTAAGAGGACTGAGCTGTCAAAGTTTTCTACGCAGCTCTACTTTGTCTTTGTCCCACATACATAGCTAAGCGCTGATTACATTTTCCTACTGTATTTCATTTCAGAAAAACAATGTTGAATGACCTGTTAAGATTTGATGTGAAAGATTGCTCTTGGTGCAGGTATGAAAATGTTTTTTTGTTTGTTATTGACCGAGTTTCTGAACCTTGCATTCCTTAGCAGCTGTTCAAAATGAGTTAACCAAAGTACATTTTTGCTTTGGACTGTAGTTGTTTTATTTTCCCTGTGTTTGTGATGCTTATCTCTGTTCCAGTCCTTTTACATTAGATAAATAGGGGAGATCTGTGTAAAAGAGTCTCTTAGAGTTTTGAATCCAGCAAAGAGAGGATTTTCCTTGTGCATGGTCAGTCATAATGCTCGTTCCTGTATGATCCTCACCAGCAGTAGAGTTTGTGGCATGTCAGGTGCAGGGCTGAAGGCAAGATTTCATGTTGGAGTGATGCTGCAATTTGCAGTGCTGCAGAAATTGTGTGTGACATTAGTCCATAGAACAGTACCAGAAGGCTGCTCCTTCAGAAGTGTCCATCTGACATGTAGGGGAAGGATTGCTTCTCCTTTCCTTCAGCCCCAGAACTGCCCAGGATTGGAAGAATGCAAAGATGTCTTTTAAAGGCACC